GTTCTGAAACACAACTGTAGAACTTGCTAAATTCTAAACTCAATATATGTGGATTACTAAAAATTAAGATGTTAGCAGACATCTATGTGAATTGAGACTTTAAAAAAAATGCGCTAAACCAGGACAAACTTTCACAAACAAATATATGCTTGAACTGAATATTAAGCAAGATTTCACTAAAAATGATTGAGCTGTTTCCCAAGGTGAATTCTGAGGGAACTATGCTTTTTTTTTTTTTTTTTTTACCCTTATATTAAGCATATATATTGTTTAATTAAGAACATAATATACTTGTGCTTTAGAACAAGAAATTTATTTGTATTTTGCAGTTTTGATACCAAGGATCAAGAACAATATGATAACAAACTGCAAAGTTATTTTATGCACATAATCTTATAAGCTTAAGTAAGCCTTCACTAGAGCCACTACTTCTTGCCAAGATAACAGTCCTGAATGAAAGAACAGCTGTGACTAAGAAGTTATAATTGTATTATCCTCTTGATGAAGTTCATGAAGTGAACTGAGGAGAAGCTGCTTCAAATGCAGAGAAGTAAACAGACTGAGAGAAGGAAATAACTTAGAGCACAATAAAAGGAAAATAAACAGGACCTGGAACAGCAACCCACTTGTTACATTAATACTACTCACTGTCAGTTAAATTAAAGGATAAGGCTGTTTTGTGAAAGACAAATTCTACTGACAACCTACTCTAAAGATAGGTGTGCTTTCGTAGGATTCTTTCCTAGTGTTCTAAAACACCAAAATGGAAGGTGGTGTTTTTAATTAAAATTTCATCTTGCACAATTTTATTTGATAGAATTTTCCTTTATTTCTTGGACATACAAACAGACAGAATTGCCTCTGCATGTTGCATAAATTTTTCAGTAGAAATTTTATGGTGTGCTTGCAGAACTGGCCTTTTCTTTCCCCCTCCCTTCTGTTGCTGTTTTCCAAAAAACAAGGGCATATATTGCTCTAACTCAACTAAAGTAGATGAGTTCTTATTCCTTTCTACCTAGAGCTTCAGCTGAACAGATTTACTTGCTCAAGCCGGGTATTTGTGTTATTTCTCTGAACTTCAAACATTTCAGCTGTGCTTTGATTTAAAACAAAAGTGAATGAGTCCTTGTTTTTTTTCACCAAACAACAGGTTTGTTAGTAATACATTCATGTGCTTATACCAGCACACTTGTGTATACAGAAACCTATTCCACTATCTTAGTAGTAATTAGAAATCCATAATTACGCATTTTTAAACTGTGTCCATTTTCTCCCCTATGCCAAATCTCATTTAACTTAGAAAACCTTTGCTAATATTGGAATAATACAAAGCACAATTTGAGACAATTATTTTTACTACTCCTGGGTGATGCATTTGTTTTTGCTTACCCTTGCCAGAGGAGCTCATCATTAGCGAGATCCTGCCAAACACACGAAGCTAGACAGAGATCAGTTGCATTCAGATATGACAAAATGGTAAAACTAAGCTCTGGTGGCAGCATTTCCAAGTTAATGAATCCTTCTTGTTCTTTAGATTTTCTTGTCTTCAGCAGGTGGTAGATGTCAATACCTCCTTGGGCTTGTTTCCGGTGGCTTGTATTGGAGACATTGTTAGTAGCTATTCTCCTACCATGCTCTCTGGTAAGATAGCCTTGTCCACTGAATCCTTGGTGTTGCAGTTGCTGATTTCTAGCAACCCTCCAGAGTCCCTGACCCATCTGTGAGCCTGCTGGACATAAAAAGCCAAATTAAATGTTGTCATACTCGCATTTCCTTTAACATTTAATTAAATTAGTTTATTTAAAAACAATGAAGTGCTACAAAATAAAAGGACAGACAAAATCATCCAGAGAAATGGGGAACACACAGAAGCACGCTGTGACTGACATAAGGAAAACATTTAGGAACTTAAATATATTGCAGCTAGAAGCCATTCCCAACTTCAGTGTATTTTCTCTTTCTTGCTTCTGAGCACCCAAAACACTTCCTTAAACATTTTTTTTCAAAGTCATAAAGGTTAGGAGTTTGTGTACATGTACTGAAGCCAGGGCTCCAGCTTAAGCTATTTATCAGTTCTGTTGCTTGTTCTAGAAACACAATGTAGCAGTACATCTGAAACACAGTATCACTCTTTAAGTAAAGATCAATCCTGCTCAGTACATGAAGAGGCACTTAGGCCCTGAGAGAGGAGGCATTACTACATTACCACTGTATTTCTTATGCAGTACTGGTCTGGACGTGTAAAGACTACTTTCAGACACTTCGTATTACAAAAGACCAATAAGAATCCACCAGGTGGTTGGTAGATCACATGTGTAGTAAGCAAAAAAGTTAATAGCCTCTTGAACTCTTGAGAACTGTAAGCAACACAGCCACCTTGTTTAACTCTTAATCTCTTTGATGAAGAATAAAGCAGTGAAGGAACACGGAGGCTGAAAACACTGACATTAAATTCACAGTACAAAAAAGACAGGGATCTCTTGGAAAGAGTCCAGCGGGGGGCCACAAAGATGGTGAAGGGCCTGGAGCATCCTTCCTATGAGGAAAGGCTGAGTGAACTGGGTCTGTTCAGCCTCGAGAAAAGAAGACTCAGAGGAGACCTGATCCACGTCTATAAATATCTGAGGTGTGGGGGGCAGAATGGCGAGACCGGACTCTTTTCAGTGGTGAGTGGAGACAGGACAAGGGGAAACGGCCGGAAACTGCAGCATAGGAAGTTCTGCACAAATGTGCGCAAGAACTTCTTTACAGTGAGGTGACGGAGCACTGGAACAGGCTGCCCAGGGAGGTGGTGGAGTCTCCTTCTCTGGAGATGTTTAAGACCTGCCTGGATGCCTACCTGTGCGACCTACTGTAGGGAACCTGCTTTGGCAGGGGGGTTGGACTCGATGATCTCTGGAGGTCCCTTCCAACCCCTACAGTTCTGTGATTCTTTGATTCTGCAACTTTTATTAGTCAGACTAAGGAACACATTTTGCTAATATTTTTGCTATCTGTTCTGACATTAGTTTATACAATTTTAACAGAGCTATATTTCCACATACATTTGTTAACTGATTAAAAAACGAGTCTTTCAAAAATGCTATTTGGACATACTTTAAGGCAACAACAACAACAAAAAAAGACAACAAAAAAAACAACAACAATATAATAGGTAATTTTGAAGGCTCTAAAGAACATAAGATCATATTGCGACAAATTTCATAACACACCAGGATGGCAACACAGAGAGAACAACAGCATTATCAGAAACAGATCATCAAAAGGCTGCACCCAGGGAATTATCAAGTGAACTTTATTCCATTAGGTAAGGATCTGGCAATTTTATAATAGCTTTCAAGCTTCTTCAGTCAGATTATCTTTCTATTCTGAAGGCCACGCTTATAAATGGGGTCATAGTTGCAAAGGACCAAATTTTCCTAGCCCTAAATCAAATATCCAAATTTCATTTGCTAGCTTGATGTTTTTATTGCAATACCTAGCTAGTAGTTCCTGTTTACAAACTACATTCTATTGAGCAATACCAAGCTAACAAGAATACCAGTGTTTGTTGCCGGTGCTCACAGGGTTCATCTTGCCACAGAATGCTAATTGTGACACATCATTTACAGCCCAGTCACTAATAGATTACTTAACGTTATGGTTCCAGGACAAAAAAAAAAAAAAAAAAAAAGAACAATCAAAACCAAGCCAACAGTGCTATGGTATCCAAGAAATTAAGACTTCTTACAGAGTTCTCACATACTTTTGCAGAAAGTATCAGTAGAGAAATCTCTTAGAAAAACTTCTTAAAATAAAACATTGATTTTAAATGCATATTTCTATTTTAAGCACCAACTGAATGAGTTTTGGGGATGACAAAAAGCAAGACTCGATTCAAGCTGACTGCTGGGAACATAGTGTGTGGCTGCTCAGCAGCAGACATGCTGTTTATAGAGCCAACCTTCTTTACCCTGTCAAGCAAATGCTTTCAGCTTTCCAGTAATGCAGGATAACGCTTTGAGATTTCACTCACAGAACAGAGAGAGTCAGTGCATCACGTTTTCACTCAGAGGGGGTGACACACTGGAACAGGTTGCCCAAGGCGGTTGTGAAGGCCCCATCTCTGGACCCATTCAAGGCCAGGCTGGATGTGGCTCTGGGCAGACTGTCTGGCAACCCTGCACGTAGCAGGGGGGTTGAAACTGATCACTGTGGTTCTTTTCAACACAGGCCAGTCTATCATCATATGGCTCTAAGAGTAAGGATGTCCAAAAATATAATTTTGTAATATTGTGAGCATCCATTTTCAGGCCCAAGATTCAGGAAGCCACTCAAATGTATGTTTCCAAACTTGTGATTGATGTAACTTCAGCCAGTACCCGCAACCTTCCAATCGCTTGGTTGTCACAACTCTCACAGGAAGAAGTGACACTAAGCTTTTTTGCTGACTGCTTATCTCCCCTGGCACTGCCTGGCCTATCCCAGAACCATGTCTGCTTCTTGTTGCTGTGTTCCAGAATAAATCCTTTTTGCAGTGGAGCCCACGACAGAAAACTACAAGCTAAATGCCATCTCTGTTAGGACAAAGATGCAGTGGCTCTGGTAGCCCCGTCACCAACAAAGCACACGCGGATGCTCCACGCGAGGCCTTTGCATTGCACCGAGCCCTGCGGTGCAGTGGAGTCCATCTCCGCGTTTCGGGCTTCTTCTTTCCCCGCAGCCGCCCTCCGCGCGGCGGCCTGCCGGCGCCCTGGCTGTGAGCGGCACAGCCGCCCCCAGGTAACGAGCACGTTCGCTCCACAGGCCGCACCGGCCCCGCTCACGGCAGGACAGTCCCCGAGTCGGTCTGCGCCGAGGGAGGCGGCGACCCCGGCCCCTCGCAACACCACCGGGTGGTACTGCCCCCGAGTGCCATTGGCCCGCACCGGCCAGGCCCGGCCTCTGATTGGCCGCGTCGCCCGTCCATCATCCCCCGGCCGCTTGCTCGCCGACGGAGCCCAGTCGCGGGAGCCCTCCCGTACCTGTGCGAGCTCGGGTCCAACCGCCGCCGCGACGAGCTTGTTGCGGGTCGGTGCGTGAGCCTCACCGGACAGAGAGGGGCTAGGCGGCCCTAGCGGTGGGAAGAGGCGGTGAGACCCCTCCGGCGCGCAGGGAGCCGCCGCCGCCGTGCCTCCTGCCAGGCGGGTTTGACGTTCACTGTTGTTGCTGGAAGTGGCGTCACCGGGGAGGGACGCGCTGGAAGCGGAAGCGGCCGTTGTGCCGCGCGGCGGCAGATTCGGGTGTCTGGAGCAGGCGAGCGGCTCCGGCCGCGGAAAGCGTCGGGGGTGAGTGCCGGCCCCTCTGTAGGGCTTTCCTAGCCTAGAGCAGGTGGACGCTTCTGGCCAACTTGGTGTCATCTGCAAACTTACTGAGGGTGCACTCAGTGCCCTCATCCCAGTCACCGATAAGGGTATTAGATGGGACAGGCCCCGATACAGTCCCTAGGGAACGCCACTCCAGGCTGAATGCCAGCTGGATTTAATCCCATTCACCAACACTCTCTGGGCCCAAACCTCCAGCCAGGCCTTAACACAGCAAATTCTACAGTTTACAATTGTGGCAGTTGATCAGAAGCAGATCTCAAGGATGTGAGAAATGCCTTGAAGAAACATTATTTCCATAACTCTGAATATTGTGTCTAACGCGTTTTTGTTGGTGCTCTTGTTTGTTTGTTTTTTTTTTGCACCCCTTCTGTCAAGTGTTTCAAAGTTGCTGAGCTGGGCAGTTTGCTAATAGACTTTCTCAGAGTCTAGCTAGGATGTAGGCTGTTTGTTGTGAGTTGTAATTTGGGGGCTGGGCTGTTATCGAGTCTATGCTTTTAAAGTTCTGTGTTGGAGAAGACCTGACATCGTTTGCTTACAAACACGTGCTTGCAAGGTACAGTAAACAGTGCTCATAGAGTGTCTGTGAATATGATGTATTTTTGAAGGAGTATCAGCTTTATGCTTTTCTTTTTACTTAGTTCCCCAATGACTTTTTTTTTTTTTTTTTTTTTTTTTTTTTTTTAAATTTGTTTTTTTCCACGGGGGAATTTATTAAAAAATTTGAACAGAAAAAAAAAATAAAAGTAAAAGATTCCTGTGCTTCTTTATGCCTCTGACAAAGCTGATTTGGATGTTGATGATAAAATGCATTATTGATTTTTTTTCCGTTGCCTTTTCTTCTTTTTTTCTTTCTTGCAGGACAGCTCTGCAAAGAAAGGGGCACCATTTTGTAGTTTACATTATGTCACTAAATGAGTCTCCTGTGAATGATCAATTAAAAAGCAGATTTTTGACTTGTGTGTTACGATGCAGAGGTTAAAACTGGACCTTTTGGCTATAGTGCCAATAATCTTAGACCTACCTTAAAGTACATAGGCTGCCTAGTTTGTTGCACCACTTCTGCTTGAACAATTTTAACTGGATTTAGTGGACTGTTTAATGGAGAAGCATTGTCTCCTTTGAAATATCAAACAAGCTTATTCAATCCTTTCTGTTTGGTTTAGCAGCCCTAAATTCTTTATTTGCATTCACATCCCTATCTTTAAAGGTCTTTGATAGTTGATGGGATTAGGCATTTCTACTCAGTCCTTATATGGATGGTATGAGGGAAATAACTGGTATTAATTAGTATTGAGCCCCAACTCTTTGCTGTTTTGTTAAGTCAGAAATAGTCACCTCTAGAAAAGAGAAATTTCAGTGATAATGATATATATTGTAATTTTAATGTGCTTTTTTTTTTTTTTTTTTTTTTTTTAACAGACAGTATTATAATATAATTACCTCGTAATCTGAAAGAGCAGTGTTTGGAAGAATGACAACGGGAGACCTAAAAGGAAGTTTAAGAAAAATAGAACAAGGACTTCGCATGTTAAATTATCCAAGAGATGTGGATTATACAGTGTAAGAAAAAGTGTTAATAAATTTATGCTAATACAGGATGACAGCAAGATACTGGCTTTGCATCCAGTGATGAGTAAGCAGAGAGGGTATGACTGTGTGAAGTTGGGATTTGATACACTTGGAATGGAAAGTGAAATAATGCAGTTTTGCTAGTCTGAGCAGTTTTTCCCCACCCTTGTTTAATCTCTCTTTGTTTCTTTTTGTGAGTGCTGACAACGCTTTCTTCAGGAATTTTCATCTTGTAAAGATGGTAGAACAAAATGTTTAACAGTGAGCTTTTGGGCTTCAGACCTGACCGTGTTGGGATCATGTCGGGGGGGGGGGGGGGGTGTCACAAAAAGCATTGTTTCAGGCATTTTACAGATGACAGTAAAGACTGTTGAATGAGATATGCATGGAAAGGTGCTTGCAATCAAGGGAACCAGAGAAAAAACTTAAAAATGAAGGGGTAACAATATAATTGTAGGTGTAACATGCTTGCTATATCGAGGATATGTAATTTGAGTGTAACACGTATGCTATATTAACATTTCAAGTTAAATGTTTGCAATTGTGCAAAGTCTTTTATTCCCTTTTGCTATGTTAAGTACTTTTGTTTCTCAATAGGTTAGTGAAGGGTGATCCAGCTGCATTTTTACCCATAATTAGCTATTCCTTTACATCGTTCTCAACTTACGTAGCAGAACTTCTGGTGAAATGTGATGTGGAACTTACAGCAAAGAGTGACTTGCGCTTTATTGAAGCTATTTATAAGGTATCTGTCTTCATGTTCTTTAAAAAAGAGGCACAATTTTGTGTATGACCTCATAAAAATGCCTAATGAGAGTGAGCATTTTTGGCTGTGAATAAGAACTGTAATTTGGTTAACATTTAGCATCAGTAGTAACTAAGGATGTGCAAAGTATTTGGCTTCCTTGTTTTCAGGAAAATCTAAAGGAATTTCAATTTTTAGAACAGTCACAGAGTCAGTAATGTATCTGCATTATGTATTAGGAGTGAGGAGTACTGAAATATTTGTTGAACTAGTTATGCAGTCAGAAGTAGACACAGAGAAATCATAACCAGCAGAAGAAAAAAGTCAAAGTAACTTTCAATAATTATGATGGAAAAACAACTAATAAATTAATTTGACGTGATATTTTAAAATAAAATTATGTTTAACAGTTTATAAATTAGAATCAAATCAAGTGCCTTGAGCTGAATAAGTGCAGAATAAAAGAAAGACTGCAGAAGAATAAGAACCTGAGGGTGTTATTTCTACAATAGGTTTTTTAAAATGATTTTCAAAGCAAACTTTTTTTTTTTTTTTTTTTTTTTTTTTTCAGCTTCTCCGAGATCAATTTCACTATAAACCAATCCTAACAAAAGAGCAGTTTCTTCAGTTTGGTTTTGCAGAAAGAAAAATGCAGATTGTTTGTGACATTATCAACTGCGTGGTGAAAAAACATAAGGAATTAAGTAACCTGAATAAGGTACTGATCAAATAGTAAATTCATTGTGAGGGATGCTATTTTTGATGTAGTTTTGGTCCTTGAGGTAGAAGGTGAAGATCAGATTATTTTTGTCAAAATAGGGGGAAAATTAGTATAAATTTTCTTTCGGAGATTCTTGAATGCTGTTGAGTATATATGTGACATGAGCTGCCAGTGTACTGTCATATAAACAGAATAATTTTACTGAAACAAAGATCAGTTAAATACTTGCTATCTTTATGGGTAAGTGGACTTTTCTGGTTCTTAATGCAGTGAGTGTTTATGTAACTCAGACATTACAGGTAGATATAAAAACAAAATCCTCTGCAATATTAAAGTTCTGGGAACATTTAATTTAAATATGATAAATAATACAAAGTTGTATTTATGTTTTGTTAGTATACGTCTTAAATCTGATTATTTTTATTAATCACATTTGATGGTACTTGAATAAAAGATTGTCTTCGTATTATATTTCAGTTGAGTCTAAAAAATCTTGATAACTTCTCTTTGCTTTATTTCTAATTGTACATCTGAAAGTGACGTACTTTCATCCTCTTTGACATTCAACCTTGCAAGTTCAGTATTTGTGATCAATTTTCATACAACGTTGTGTAGGTGTTAAGAATATGTGTGTGGTATTCACTTTGAGATCTGTTTTCTCTGTTAATTTGGGATATAATTTAAATACATATTTATACATACATACTGCATTTCAGAGATCTAAATGCCTTTGCATGTGTGTTATGCAATTTTCTTGCTTGCCAATAGTGGTTAGACATAGTGTCTTCCTTTCCCTCCCAGAAAAATGTATTAGAATGAGGTTTTTTTTCCTCCTCTTTATTCTGAAGGTTAAATCCCAAGCAAGAAAGAAATTCAGACCTTCAAAACGTGAAATATGGTCAAACTGTGGTGATGTTCTTGTTGATCTCAGTGGCAGCACTCTGAATTCCAAACAGGTATGAAATAGTTCTTATGTTGTGTGTCTAAAAGTTAGTCTCACTTGTAGCAAATCAGGCTCTTCCTGGAATATGTGCTTTTGTGTAGGTTTTAACATTTGATCATGCTTGATATGTTTTTCAAAATGCGGTTGATGGAAATAATGGCTACTACAGGAACTATTACTTCTTTTTTACTGAGTAGTTGATTGAGTCTTGGTGGTAATGATCTAGTACTGTTATCTGTTGACTTATACAAAAGAAAAATGAGGGGCAGTAATTGAAATGAAGATATAATTGGAAAAATATTATATTTTTTGAGACAGAATTGTATCTGACCTGACATTATGCTGTTTTGGAAGCTACATTTAAAATACTTATTGGTTTTTTGCTGGAATCTGTTCAGCAAAGATTTCTTAATGTATCATTCCTTTTGGCTTCAGTTTCTGAGCATAATATTTGAGCTGATACATTATGTTTATCTTGTGCTGTGGAGGAAACAGTATTCCTGGTTAAAGTAAAATCCTGCAAAACTTTCTTTAGGACTGAGCTCAATAAAGGTACATGATTTCTATTTAGAATAAAAATATTGCCCTTAGCAGTGAGGAAAACTTCACAAAGAAAGCACTTGAAATCACTGTTCATCAACCATGAACTGCCAGATTAGTGGAATTAAATGGGACTGTATGTGAGTGTATTAAGAATTCCCTTGAAGAGAAGAATTTCAGTGTCACTTTAAAACACGCAATGTCTTAACACTTGCAGGTTACTACTACACAAAACTACTAATTGTGGGTTCTTAATCATTAGATAACATATATTGCTTTGTGAGATGTAGCGATGATAAGACTTGCTCCACCTGCAAAGAAGGGCATAACTTGTCTTTTGTTCTCTCTGAGGGAAATATTCAAAGAAAGGGGAAATGTTGGTAACATGAAGTACTTTAGAAGTAGTGAAGGAAAATAGATTTCCAAATTTCCCCATTAAGCTCATTTTTTTTCTGAAAGGTTGAGTGGTAACTTCATTGTTGGATCGATCCATGTGTATGTTATCACATAGGAAACTAGAGAGTTCTAATCCACAATTTCAAATTTCACAACCCTAGACAATGTTCTTGTTTGTTTGTTCGTTTTTTAACAGCAGGAAAGGCCATTGATGGTTTCAGCACTGTGTATAGATGGGAACCAGTATACTCAGTAAACATAGTAATTTGTGTGCATATTTGTTTTACAGTTCTTCCATGTCTATATGGCTTACTTTTTTAATTAAACTGCTTTTTGTGGGTTTCTGTGTTTTGCAGCCAGTTGTGGTAAAACTTTTTTATTTTAGTTTAACAGTTAAATGCTAGAATGATAGATATTTTGTGTCAGTTATCTGCCTGATGCATGTGAATATTCTTGTACTGAGAAATATCACGGGTTTTTATTTATTTGTTTTTATTTTTAAGCATGCTCAAAAGGTGCCTCTTGTAGAACGACACTCAGGAGATGAAGTTAGGGATGACCTTCCTCTTGCACCTATTAATCCAACACCTCTTAATCCACCATCTCTTCCAGAAGAGGGAGGTAATGAAGGAGAGTTGTACTTAGATGATGATGTTGTGGAAGAACAAGTAAGAATATTTAAGTTTTCCACATGCATTCCTAACTTTTTTTTTTTTTTTTTTCCACAGGACCTTTCTTAAGGGAAGAGATTTTAAAATAATAGTTGGATTCTCTTTAAATGTAACTAGTAGATATATATATTCAGTGGTTAAAAATGTCAAATTGTGTTGACCTTTCAAGTGCCAGGTCTACTAACAGTTTCTGTAAAAGCTTGGTTCAATGAATAATTAGTTTATAGTAATTCTGAAATATAATTCTCTAATGTAACATAATGTAATGTAGCATAAACTTAAATTGAGGAAAACTGCATTTAATTTTGTTGATCAAAGGATGAATTATATCTATGCCAGAATTAGAAAATGCGTTTTTATCCATGTTTTCAGGTCATAGAGGACAATTCTCAGATGGAGTTTCTAAGGAGTCAACTTGCTGATTGCCAGGAAAAGCTTCATAAGCTGGACTGGATGGAAGATAAATTACGTGTTTTGGAAGAGAAACTGAAAGGGAAGGTGATTATAGATGAGAAGGACTGGAATAATTTGTTGAGCAGAGTTTTGCTTCTTGAAACAGAACTGTTGCTGCAGTCCAAAAAGGTATCACACACATCAATTTTATTTCTATAGTAAAAGCAGATATCAGAATAATATTTGTAGTGTTTCAGTATAGTGGGTTTTTTTTGTTTGTTTGTTTAGAACAATTTTTTTAGTGTTTCCCAGTTATTACTAGGTGACAGGACTGTTGCCAAACACAGTGCACTCAGCTTGCTTCTGTTTCTCCTACGTCTTGATGTATGTCTTTCACCATTCTTAATGGGAGAGTCCGAACGCCAGTGTTGTTTGAGGATTTTTTTTTCAACGTAATTGCTACGTTCTGTTGCTTCCTGATATTTTGTAGCAAACTTCTCCTTTGGAAACTTTCCAGCAGGTGTAGCTCAGTATATTTTCGAAAGTAATGACTGTGTGATTTTATATGACAGTGAGCTCATTGAGATAACTTCCACAGACTTAAAATTGTGCTGTCTTTGAAAGCTTACCATATGTGAAGTGGAGAATTTCCTTGTGATGGGGGCACATTTAAGGCTCCTTTGCCCACGCAATTTTGGATTTCTCATTCTGGGCTGCAAATGTTGTTTCAGTAGTCTGGAGTGGTACTTTTGCCACTGATACAGCCAAACTTCCTTTTTAGTTGTCCAGACTGATCTTTAATCAGATTCTTTTGTTCCCTTTGTGAGATATAATGAAGTCTTAATCTTTCAGTAATTATATATGTGATGTGTGATTATGATTCAAATGAAGCTTTTTTTAAAAAAAAAAATTCCATCTATGTTTGGTTTATTATTACTTTGGTAACATTTATTGAAGTAGTTCAGAGGTCTGGAATAGTATGGAATATTCACTGTGAATATATTTGACGCTGGTGTCATTCAAAAATTTACTGGAAATGAGTTTATTTCTGCAGTACCTGTTAGTACCTGTTACTGTTAGTAGTTGTCGCAGAAAGAAGTTTGAATTTAGTTTGTGCCTGGCATTGTTAGCACTTCTTTCAAAGCAAAGGAAGCTGGGTTTTAGAAAGAGTCTTTAAAAGTAATTTTATTATTATTATTATTATTATTATTTTTGCAATAGACTTCTGAAAACCGCAAGGAAATAATTGTTTGGGCCAGAGAATTGCTGCTGGTTTGTTTTTTTTCCATCCGAGTTGCTCTTCATACAAACAGAAGCAACTTAGAGTTACTCCTTTCTTCAGGATTTTTCAGGGACTGTCTGGTGTCTAGCCAGCATAGCAGGAGCACTGGTTTGCAGTGCTGCCACAAAGTAGCAGCAGTGCGTTTAGCTCAAGGAAAATCTGAGAGACTACCAAGACTACCAAATCCCTCTCAATGAGACAAGTTGGGCAATAGCACTCAGTGCAGTTATCTTCCCCCCCCTTCCTCCCCCCTCACCTCCTTTCTCTTAGAGAAACACTCACAAATGCAGTCTTTCTTAGCTTTTTCACTCACAGCACCTACTATTTCTCCCTTATCTACTTACTTGGATATAATCCCCTCTTAAGTGATACAGTCACATATTCCAGTATATGAATTACTGTACTTTACTGAAGGGTAAGATTTCAAACGTAATAACAGTTTGTTGGTTAATAAAGGCTGGATATTGCTCAAGGCTTTTTTTTTTTTTTTTTTTTTTTTTTTAACTTTGAGGTCAGGAAATTGCATACATACATTTCTTAGTGGAACATCAGTTTTGTTGTTTATGAACAGCCTTTTTGAAGCTAGGTTGAATGAAACTGAGAACTTTTCTAGAAACATCCCTCTCATTTAGGAGTCTGAAAAACTAGCCTTAGCTAGGCTTGACCTCTAAACATTTAAGTGGAATTAATTTCAGTTCATCTGTAGGCTAATTCTTAAGACTAAAATGCTACATTTCTGAATAATATCTGAGTTTGGAAGGTACACTTTATTAAGGTTAATTGCAGCCCAAAACAAGATGTAATTGTCAGCACAGGTCAAGAATATTATGGCTGTTCATTGTGCTCATACCAAAGTTTCAGAAACTGTATTTGGACCTGCTTTTGACACACAATCTTAATAAAGCCTCCATGGAATGCATAGTCCTGTGAAAACACGTGTGCAATGCTGACATAACTGGATTGTTGTAGAACAAGTATTCATGTTTAGTACTTAAGTATTCATTTGTTCAGTTAGAAGATGTTTTTTATATATGACTAAAATGCAGTAAACTTGTATTTCAGAGAGACTTATCTGCAGAGTTCAACAGTGTAAGTCAAGATGATACTTCCAGTATAATTCCAGTCTCTCCTGGTGAGTGTTAATGACTTCTTTAATTAAAGTCATATGCTAAGTGCTTCTTGCTGACTTGATTAAAACAGTCTTCTTAAGTGGACAATCTATTGCAGTTCTAATTTAAATACATGCTTTAGATAAGAAATGAACCTAATAGCAATTTCATATTAGTAAATACAGACACTAAATAAATTACAGAAATATTTTTTTTAAGCTTTAATGGATATACATAGCATGGTAATTAATTTACAAATGACACTTGACCAAAAGTCTCAGATGCTAACTTAATTAAGGTGCACAACATACATTTGTGGCCACAGTTTACTGTATTTAAAATACTGGCACATTTACATTGCTTACTTTTATAATGGGACTTGGGGAAAATTGAGGCAAAAACAAGTTCATAATTTGTGCTGAACATTCTCTGTAGTTTTTCCCTCTTGAAACAGCAGCTATCCAACTAGCCTTTTTGCTGAGCTTTCTTATTTTGAAGAGCACAACAAAATCTTTCTTCAGTTTCCAGATGAAGTTTGGTAATATACCAGACATAAATGAAACAGCCTTAAGTGGGAAAGAAAAAATTTCCCAGCTGCCTTAGTAACTTTTTTTTTTCCCCTCAATGGTAGCTGCTTATCCCTTATGTTTCATCACTTATTAATATGACTTGTCTGGATGATGGCAGTTATTATTCCTACCACTATTAGTAAGGAGGATATTCTCATTTATTAGACCTTTTGATCCAATGTTGCGGTGTTGCATAGGAATTAGACAGGAAGTGAAGAACCTACTTCTTTTATCTGAGTAATCCAGATTCCACATAAGTTAGGAAGGCCATTTCTTGATTATGTCAAAGGTTTATTTTTATTTTAAAGTCTTAGAAATTGGATCTTTATACAGACCTTAAAAAGCTTGCCATGTTTACTTTCCTTTGTATGTTCAATGATACTTTACTGACATTTGAGGACTTCATACTCAGGAGATAGGATGATGGTCTTTTATAGAGAATTTTCATGTTTTCTTTCTTCTAGAATTCTTTTGACTTCATTATTCTGGTTTGTGTGATCCAAGTCACTGTAAACTTAATGATTATGCAGCCAGGTTTAATTGTATGTTTAAGGCTATACAGTACTGAAAATGTTGGTGTTTCGTGGGTTTCTTTTGTATTTTTTGTTGTTTCACTCTTCAAGAATCACTGCTGTTCTGGAGGAACACTTTTAAATTTAAACTGATTAGAAATAATGTATTTGAATTACAAAATAGCTTAGCTGAACATGTTCCAAAGGCGTAATCTGAAGATGCTTATATTATTTAAAATAAGGTCACAACACTTTTTTTTATGTACTAAACTATTTCTTTTCCTTGAAAAAATTGTAAAAGATATAAGTGATCTTTTTTGGATTTGTCTTGTTTGTGTAATACCTAATATACTTCATTTTTTCTTGTCTTAAGGAATGAGGAAACTATTTCAGAACTTCACAAGTAGTTTGTTTTTTTTCCTTTCTAAACAATGCATTGTCTTTTGTTTTTACATATGGTAAATCAAGCTATTTGATAGTTGTCCTTGTAATGAAAGAGGAAAAAGGCAAAGATCATATAAAAATGAGCCTTTCTCTGTAGATGCAGAAAAGAAGGAGGAGATGATGGAGTGTCCTCGTCGGTCATCTGGATACAGTTCATCATTATCCACAGTCTCATCTCCCAATGCCATGATAATTAATTCTCATTATCTGACAGAGATTTCAAAGGTAATTAAAACTGGCAAATGGTTCATTGATTTCCTTTCTGATGTTAAGAGGACAAGTAAGCATTAATATCAGTTGTATATGCTACTGGTGGAAAAACAAGGAAACTATGCAAAGCTGTTCTAGATCTGTCTCTTAAAAAATCCTTTTGCTATGTAAACTGTGCTTAAAGTTGCATTCTCTATGAATTTTTCAGATTGAAAGTCCATCTGAAGAATGTGAGCTTTGAAGAGTTCACTAAACTTGTTGCTTTTAAATTGCAGGAGACAACAAGACAAAGAATGGAAAGGATAAGTAAAATGTAAGTTATGGGAGAGGGCAGCAGGAATTCATTTCCCAGGAGAGGATTGTACTGGACTAAGACTTATAGAGAATGTACATGTGTTCCAAACCTCAAAGGTCTCTGCATCAGGTGTGGCATTTCCTTATGACTCCGCTGGATAATAAATCCACCTACAGTTCTGTATTTGTGGGATGAGTCATTGTTTTGATTTCTAAAAAGCAACAGAAGCATTCTTAATAGTATCAGCTGAAGATCAAAGGGTGTTTAGAATTCAGTTGACAAGGAATAGCAATGTTATTTATAAGAGTTCCCCCTAGGATGAGCAACTTTTCTTCCTGAAAAGTAGCTAATAAGTTTTAGCTCTGCTGTTTTATTATTAAAGAAAAAGAAAAACCAATTTCAGCCTAAGCATTACATTAAGGTGTGTTTAATGATATTACTGAGAATTGTAAGTAATTTTTTTTGTAAGAAATTCTTACATTACAATTGATTATTGCTAAGGAAACAGCAATGCATTTAATTCCTATTCTATGAATGCCTGTCCTGAGTAAATTGCTGCCTTCTTTTGTGATTTAATCTTCTCTACTTTTGTGTGGGTTACTTCTTTCTGTGTGTACTTGAGGCTTTTTGATATTTGATAGACATTTTGTGTGCAAACCAATTGCAGAGGAAGAGGGGCATGAGAGATACGTAGTTTATTGCTGGATATTAGTATTGTGGATCCATTTGAAGGTAAATAATTATTTGCCTTTTTGTGTATTTTAATAAGTATTTGTGACTCTGTAAACAATTTATTTTCAGCATTGAAGAAACCTCAGAATTGTTGAAAACCTCAAGTAACACCTCTGAAAAGGCCTGAAAGAGCGGCTCTTCAGGCCTGTTCCCTGTAGATGTATGGATATAAAAAGTAATATGTATGTTTGTACAACATTAAATTTTTAATATTTCAAATTTGTAATGTTCACTGTTTTTTATATTCTTTGAGTAAATGTCTTTGAATGCATCTGTGTACTTATGATCTTTTTTTTTTTTTTAAATTTACCTCACTGACTTTAACTTTGTAAAACTGTTGAAATAGCTTCTCCCTCTTTCGTTTTGTAGAACAAAGTCATCACAGCAGTGCATTTTTGTGTTGACATTTGTTAGCAGTGTGCTAAGTAGTGTGTTTTTTAAAGCATGGGCTCGAGGACTATGGTTTACATCCTGTTGGAAACACTCCAGTTGGTACTTACATATTGTACCCAAGAGGCTTTATTACATACTATCTTGCTATTTGTGCTGTTGAGTAAGTTTTAATGAAAGCACACTTTTAAATACATACCTTTTTTAATATAAATTTTTGTATGCACCTAGAGAGCACCAATGCATTATGGCTTCCATTAACACAAACAAAGTGTGAGTCAGTTTGATCTTAAACATTAAAATGTGTGAGTAAGTCCACAGACTACAAGAGATGTGTTGAGTGTTTTAGTACTCTTACCCAACACGTTTTAAGACTAGCAGCACAGATGGAGACCATCCAGTATACAAAGATGCACAAGACTTTTATGGTTTGAAGCTGCATTAAAATTTCTCTTTAGCAATGTAAGATGCAAGACTTTCATAAACATATAATCAAACAAAAATATGTTGAGTGTGACAAGATTTATTTCCCTTTGTAAATTAGTGGCCTATCATATCAGTATTTCTTTGTGCTATAATGCCGTCTTTACATAAAAGATTTTGGGAGTTTGATTCATAAAATCAGTGTTTTGTTTTGTTGTTTTTTTTTTTTATAACAGTTTGCAAATGAAGGAGAAAACCCAGCTGTTCCATGTTATGCTGTAGAAAGTAATTTGTATTTTAACAGTAATGATTTTTTTTTCTGTAATCATACAGAATTTCAATTTATTTTACATACAAACAAGTACATAGCTTGATCAAACGTGCTGTATAAACTTAATCAAGGATTTTTGGAATTTTTCATTAGAACTTTCCATTTTCAATATTTTTGTTTCCAGAAAATAAAAGAACTTAGAGAGTACGAAGGCATGAACTTGTTCTTTTTGCTTAAAAATAGATCTTGGAAATTACTTCATTAGTTTTACAATAATGTATATACTTTTTTCTAGATATAAGAAAACAACTTCCAAAATAGGACTGCAGCACCATCTTGTGGAAATCTTTATACAAAATAATAACCAAAGTAGGAAGAAATAAAGAGCATTCTATACAGTTAAAACCATTGCTTTAAACTAGCAATGATAAAATATTTTGAATTACCAACTCCTTTTTTAATGCTGCTTCTTTGCATTGGCTTGGAAGGGGGAGGGCAATTTAGTTAAAATAATTATTAATATTTAATCTTCATGGCGGGAACCTGGAGAGCAATGAATCTGTTTATGTTGGTATTGTGCTCAGTAGGGGAAATGCTGGTAAAATAAATAAATAAATAAATAAATGATAAAAGTGGTTCAAGTTGCAGGTATTAATCCTTTAACACGTGTGAGTGATGCGATGTTAGGAAGAGGTGTTTTTAGTCTGCAATTTAATATCATCTATATTCACTAATGCAAAATTGAGAATTCAGAGTAGTTCAACTATTTCCTATTCTAGTGCTTTTGTCTATATGATGTGATGCAACCTTTTGCTTCACCTGTTTCCAGGACAAAGCAAGGTCTCACTTCATTCAAAGTAAAGCCAAGTGTGTTACAATTAGGGCAGTGCAGCTGATTTTCTAAAGATATTTTCTGACACCTGCTTTTTTTTTTTTTTTTTTTTTAATGAAACTTGTTTTTTGAAGATTGTACCATATTCTGAGAAAGAAATATTTGCAATGCTTTCTAATTATCTACATGTTTGAATGATACTTTAAAAAAAAAAAAAAATCCATTTGTATCATTGCAAACAGCTAGAATGGCTCATACTTCACCAAAGTACTGCAGTGATAAGACTTGCATTTCAAGGAAGAAAATAGCAAAATTTTTTGAAAATTACTGCAATGCAACTTTAAGCATTGTTACAACAGTTTAAAAATAGACATTGTGTGTATTATCAGATGCAGTAGTCGGATCTTGCTGACAGGAAGTGTTGGGATCATTCCAAAACACAAATTAAATTCATCCAGACAGTATTGTTTACTATATTTTCCATCATGCCTAACTCTTTCTAATGACTTGGAAAAAATTCCTTTTGTTCAAGAGATATTATTCAAGATAAATGTTCTATGATTATAGCTCATCACTTGAAGCACTATTATTGTGTAAGCTTACAGAATTTAGATATTTAAAAATGTAGATTATTAATTTTAGATCCAAGAATTGTTTTGAGAATACCTCCTTAAACTTCAGTAGAGTAATTCCACCTTGTAATGCATGTGTAGATTCAGTTATATGTGGGATAATAAAGCGTGATATCATTTTAAGTAAAAGACTGAAATTCAGATTTGGTTCTACCTAAGAAAGGCTGAGTTCAGTTAAATACCAATATTTAAGTGTAGCAATACAGAATGTGTGTTTTCTTGAAATGAATTCCATTAAGATGAAAATCTCAGAATCTGCAGAACGAGACTGTGGGGAAAGAGGTTAGCTGTTTTTCCTTCACTCTCAATAGCGATTAGTAGGGCCCCCATCTTTGAATTATAATATAAAAAAATAATTTTGTCACTGCTTTTAGTCTGGTAATGTGGTGTGTTAAGAGTTTTGCATCTTCATTACAGTTTAAGAACAAATCTGAGAGATTCCTATTTTTTTCTGTTAAGAATACTTGCATTTCGGTGGGTTTTGTTTTTTGTTTTAATTTTAGCCGTACATTTCAGTGTGATTTAAGCCTAGGATGCATTTCTCATTTTAGTATGCATAAAAATAGAAATGTAAATACAGCAGACTTAGGTTTTGCTCAGTACTGATTTCTGGTCAAACATTACTGTATGTCTTAGTGCTGCTTTACCTCTTTCAGACATGGGAGGAAAAAAAAAACACAACTAAAACAAGCAAACAGATAAACAACACAAAACTTTCTATCCTTACTTAGATAATCCTGTGTTGCAGGTGAGGCTTTAGAGCAGTTGGAGGAAATTAAAACACCTGTGTCTTCAGAATTCCAAGCAATGAAAAGCAGTTATTAAGAACTACATGACATTTCTTTGCTTAGATATCGCACAACTCATTTCAAAGTGTAGTAAACAGTAATTTTGCATATGCAATTTAAGTGTAGCAGATGCTGTATTTTTTATTGCAAAATTATCATTTTCTTTAGACTGTATCCAGAGCAGATACTTGATGTGAAATCAGGAAGGCTTTAAATTATCTGGGAGAAAACTGCTTTAATTAACAACATTAAATAGTAGTGTGAAGCAATGGTGTTCCAGTGTAGAGTTCTCCTTTAGCCTTCCCATTATTGTAAAGGAAACTTCTTAAGCAGGAAAAAGAAATCGACTTCAGATGATCAGATTAGATTGAGGGCTATCAAAGGGGAATTGAGGAGCAGGAGTACAGATCATATTTTCCTCTATCCTTTCAGTGGCAGCAAGAAATACTGAGAGGAGCAGGAAAACCCGTATCCCAGCTGATAAATACATAGCTGAGAGACTGGTGCCATTGCAGGAATTTTGGCTTTTTCAGCTGGGGGGCAGTCTGATGTGTCTCATCTGTTTCAAAGAGGGAAACTGATCCTAGAGTAGGAGCTGGCAGGGCTTGTTGGGAGGGCTTTAAACTAGGTGTGAAGGGGAAAAAGGATAAATAAAATGAGGCTTGCTAGAAGTGAGCCTGGGAGAGCAACACCAGAGTGAGGAGTGTGGCAAATGGCTCAGTTGCAATGCAGCTATGGTAATTCACACAACATGGGCAGTGAACAGGAAGAGCTGAAAGCCATCATGCCCCAGGCAAACTGTAACTTAGTTGCTATTACTGAAACATGGTGGGATGGTTGCCAGAATTGGAATACTGCAGTGACGGCTATAAAGCTCCTCAGAAGGGATGGGCAAGGAAGGAGGGGTGGTGATGTGCCTATCTGTCCTAGAAAGTTTTGATATTGTTGAGCTTGGGGCTGGCAATGATAAAGTTGAATCACTATAGTTAAGGATCAGGGGAGGGCCAACAGGGCTGACATCTTGGTGGGGGTCTGTTATAGACTGCCTATCCGGGATGAAGAGACAAATAAGGTGTTCTATGAGCATCTGGAAGAAGTTATGTGGCTGCCTGCCCTTGTTCTTATGGGGGGACTTAAACTTCCCTGGTATATGCTGGAAATACAACACAGTGCAGAGGAAGCAGTCTAGGAGGTTTCTAGAGCGTCTGGAAGATGACTTCCTTCTGCAGCTGGTAAGAAAGCCTATCATGGGAGGAGCCCCGCTAGACCCGCTGTTCACAGGTGGAGAAGGACTGGTGGGATATGTGGAGGTCAGAAGCTGTCTAGGGCAGAGCAAACACAAAATGTTAGAGTTCTCTGTTCTTGGTGATTTTGGGAGGGAAGTCAGCAAAACTGCTGCCTTGGACTTCTGGAGGGCAGACTTTGAACTATTCAGGAGCCTGGAAGGGAGGGTCCCCCTTGGGATTCAGTCTTGAAGGGCAAAGGAGTCCAAGAAGGCTGGTTGCTCCTCGTGAAAGAAACCTTAAAGGCACAGGAACAGGCTGACCAGGGAGGGGTTTGAGTCACTGACTCTGGAGGTATTCAAGAAACGTGTAATTGTAATACTAAGGAACATGGTTTTAGTGGGCAATATTGGTGATAGGTGATCTTGAAGGTCTTTTTCAACCTTTATGATTCTGTGATGGATTCTAGAGTCAGCAGTGTATAATTTTGGAGGGGTTTTGTTTTTGTAATGATTAATTTATACTATAAGTAGTGTGAAAGTATTATACCTCAGGGTATTTTAAAGAATGATACTGCTATGTTCCTGCAAGATATTGTGAGAGGGGCTTAAATTTTCCACACTTGCTATTCTCATTTTACCTGGCGTTGCTCTGCTTCAC